GATGGATGGATGATGGATGGATGATGGATGGATGGATGGATGATGGATGAATGATGGATGTATGGATGGATGATGGATGGATGATGGATGGACTGATGGATCAATGGGTAGGTGGAATGATGGGCAGGTGGATGAGTGGGTGTGTGGGTGAGTAGATAAATGGATGAATGGATGGATCAGCGAGTGGGCCAGTGAATGGGTAATAGGTCAAAAGATGAAAGGGTGGGTGGATGACAGGATGGAACCAGGTAACCAAATCAGGTGCTTTAGGTAAAAGGGAGCAGCTTGGAGCCTGTGAAGGGGGTTCCTGCAGTGTGCCGCAGTCCCCACTGAGCCCCAGTGCCCCAGTGTCTCCCAACACTAAGAATGTGTACCAGCTGCCCCTGCACATGTGCACTCGTTCAGGTTCTCACGTGGCCTCTGTGGGCATTCGAGTTCACAGCCCCTGTTCTGTGCTCCTTGGGTGTTACCATTCCAGACCCAGAATTCTAAGGGCTCCGAAGACACAGGGAAAGGGGAGAGTGAAGGTGGAAAAGTGCCTGAGACCGTGAAGGGAAACAGTACTCACCCCGAGACTTGCCCCGGCCCTGCATCGAGTAGGCAGGGGCACAGCTGCGGCCAAAACGCGTGATTTTGGGGTCCAGGAAGTAGACCGGCCCAGGGCTGCTGTCCTCAGGGAGAACTAGGAAGAGGGGCCAGGCCCTGAGGGCATCCCTGCAGGTGGCGCCACCCACCACCCCGCCCTCAGTGCCCCATTAGCCCTGAGGCACCTCCACCTGGTCCAACACCGCCCGCAGCCCTTCTTGGAGACAGAGACTGCAGAGAAACTGGGGGACTCTGGTTCACGTTTGCCCCACTGAGCTTCTCTGTCTCATTGTCAAAACGATTCCTTCGGACAGTTGCTCTGCTGTAGTTTGTAGCTGCCCCTACGCCTGCAGAGCCCCCCTGCTGTGGGCTGGGGACCAGTCTGGGTTATTAGGATTGTGCGCAGAGTACCAGTAACTAGGCGCTGAGCAAAGGTCTAAGGAGACGATTTAGTGCCGGGACGTGTGTGCTTGTAACGAGCTTGAAAGAGGGGCCTGTGTTCAAATCCCACAGGGCCTCTTAGGGGCTGTGTCCTGAGGCAAGCCGCAGAGTCTAAGCCTAGTTTCCTTTATTCAGAGGTTGCGAAGAATAAAAAGTGAGAAAATGGAAGGGGTGGTCACAGCGCCTGGCACTTGACAAGTGGGGTCTATTACTGTGATTGTCTTTGTTATTATTTTTCAACATATTCACATATATATGCACAAGCATGTGCGTATAGTGGGTTTGACAAGTGTTCGTTGATTTACATACTCTGTATATGGGCAAGTATGCGTGTCTACAGCCAGTGTGCCTGACCCACGTGCATGTGTGGGACAGAGGGACTGAGACAGGCTAGGGAGCCAGGGGGGCAGTGCTGACGCTGTTGCAGGGCTAGGGAGGACTTCCTGGAGGTAGAGGCACAGGATCAGGGCTTTGTAGGGTGAATAGGAGTTCAAGCAGCCCTTGGGAGAAAAAGGGAACGGAACTCCAGGTAGAGCCTACAGCATTGGCATGGGCCTTGAGGTGGGAATGGCATGGCCTCAGCACCGCCCCCCACCCCGGCCTCCTCCATCACAAATCTGAGGCCTCCCCAGGGTCAGGAGTGGCTGGGAAACCTCTTCACCAAAGTCACATAGCAACTGCGCACAGACCTCCGTGCACACCCCCTCTCACAGTGTCTCACAATAACCCATCAAGGGTCATTCCACTTTTCAGAGGGGGAAACTGAGGCTCAAAGTTCAGCCAGCAAGAACACGGCCGTCAAGACTCAACACGCGGAAGCCCCAACTCTTAACATCCACCTGACACTTCCCACCGTCGAGCCTGTCCTGCGTCTCCTGCCCGACCCGGCCCTCTGCTCCCTGACAGGTCAGCACCTCCCAGATCATGGTGCCCACCCTCCCGGCTCCCTGCCTCTGTCCCCTCCCAGTGGGGGAGGCCTGGATCTAGCCATGTCGCCCAGCCCACACCCCACCCACCCACCTTACCCTCACTGGGCTTCCGGACCAGGGAGCAGGCAGGATTGGCCAGTCTGGTGCGGTCGTGCTGGGCGTAGCCAACGGTGGACAGAAGGACATACGGGCCCGGCCTGGCGCCTGCATGGGGCCCTCAGGTCATGGCCAGGGGTGCAGGGCCCCGAGAACCCAGCTCCATCCCCCCACCCACTCCCACCTGCCTTGGCTGGAGTGGGGGAGGCAGGAGGCAGCTCTCCCTCCCCGGGGATAGAGTGAGTGACACCCGCATTGTGAGTTGGCATGAATCACAGGTGGGGGGCCAGGGTCAGGGCCTCCCTGATGGAGGGGGAAGGGGGTTGGGCCCAGATGGGGAAACTCATGGGGAGGGACACGGGATGAGGTCATCACAGATGGGGAGACGGAGGCAGTCCCCGTCACAAGCAGAATGTGCAGCCTGCCCCCACAAATGACCCACCCCCAGGGCTCCCTCTTCCCCGGGCGTCATTATCGATTTTTCTGGTCACCCTGCCCTGTCCCACCCCCACAGCTTTGGCTCTTGGTCTGGCCGTGCCCTCCACGCTAGCGCGGGGCCTGAACACCTGGCCCTGTCAGTGGGCAGCTGTCCAGGCCACAGGAGCCCATCCTCACACCCATTCTCCAGGAAGGAAACTGAGGCTTGGAGCAGGCAGGGATTGTCAAGGCTGGGGCTGGGCTCCCAGAATATTCCAGAAGTGGGGGATGTGGGGAGTGGAGCGGGACAATACCTCCTGGGACAGAAACCTATGCCTGTGGCCGCACCCCATGGCCCCCATACCTGTCTCCAGGGCAGCCACTCCACAGGATTTCCGAAGGCCCGTCTCGGGGATCTGGTACTCCGCAGCCCGCCGGCCCAGGGTGGTGGAGGTCGGCCGCGGGGCGGGGTCACAGCTGAGGGTGCCCATGGTGGGCAGCGAGGGCCCAGGGAACACAGGGCCTGGAGCTGCTCCTTAGGGCCGTGTCTCTGGTGGCTGCAGCCCAGCCACTGTCCCCAGCCCTTGAGCCTCCGCCTGGCCTGGCAGAGCCCCGGCTTCACCACACCTCCCTCGGCCACACAGACGGCCCCTTGTCCCCCCAGCACGGAGTCGTGGGGCCCTGGCCTGAGAGGGCTGGCTGCCGGACGCTGGCCTGGAAGTGAGGTTGGGATCGAGTATCTCCCGGCAGCTGGACCGTCCAGGTGAGAATCCGGTGTCAGCCGAGTGGGTCCCCAGGGAGCTGACCGAGCTGGGTGGCCGGGGCCAGAGCTGGCTCCAGGGAGCACAGCCACCAACACGACACCAGGCCCGGCAGCAGGGGGGAAGGGCGAGGTTGCAGGTGGCCCGGCTCCATTCCCGAGGCAGGTAAACTGAGGCACAGGCCAGGGTCACACGGCAAGCTCACGACTCTGGGGGCCTAGGCCAAGAAGGTCCTTTCCTCCTTCCTCCAACAAGAACTTATTGAGCGCCTGTTGTGCTCCAGGCTCCACTGTGGGGCAGTGGGGACACAGCAGGGAACAAGGCAGACGGAGACCCCTGCCCTCGGGGATCTGAAGCTCTAGAGGGGAGACAGAAAATGAACGATAAATGTATTAAGTGAGCATATTCTGTTGTGTGGTAGAAAGTGCTAACTGCTAAAGGTAGGCCTGACAAACAGAGCAGAGTCACAGTCCAGGACTCGCTGCTCTGAGAGGTGAGATTTCAGCAAAGACCAGAAGGTGAGGGAGGGAGCCGTGCAGACACCTGGGAGAAGAGCGTATGAGGAAACAGGGACAGCCTGTGCAAAGGCCCTGGGGCAGGAGCAAAGTCAGAGAGGAGGACAGCTCACTGCCTCCCAGAAGTCCACAGGGACTTATTCCAGCCTGACATCGATTTTTTTTTTTTGGTCAGAGGAGCATTTTTTTAATTTAAAAAATAAATATCTGTAACAAGAAATACTTGCCATTTTAACCATTTTTAAGTGTACAATTTAGTGACATTAATTACATTCACCATGTTGTACAACTGTCACCACCATTTCCAAAAATCGTTACTCACCCTAAACACAGATTCAGCACCACTTCGGCAATAACTCCTATCCCCTGCCCACCTGCCCTGCTGACCATTAATAAGCTCTGTCGCTATGCACCTGCCTGTTCTGGGTATTTCATGTACGTGGGGTCATAGAGTGTTTGCTCTCGTGTGTCTGACACTATCAATTTTATTTCCCTGCCCCACCAAAGGCTACTGCTACGCAGGGCTCCAAGAAGGGACTTAGGGGAACTTTGCTGAGTGAATTACAAATCCCTGTCTCCTCCACGGCTTCTCTGTCTCTTGCTGTATTGTTGGGGACCCTGGTCCCCGCACTAATCTCACGAGCTTCTCTCAGCTCAAAGCTCTTCACCGACCACCAAGCAAATGGTATGTAAATGAAGGCAAATTAATTCAAAACACATGCAAATGAGCCATATTTTCAGTCCAATCTGATCCACTGACCAAAAAACAAACAAAAACATCCTTTGCCTTCGAGTTGATGCCGACTCATGGTGACTTCATGTGCTACCGAGTAGAACTGCCTCATAGGGTTCTCTAGGCTGTAATCTTTATGCAAACAGATTGCCAGGCCTTTCTTCCATGGCACCGCTGGATGGGTTCGAACCGCCAACCTTTAGGTTAGTACAACTAACTTAGCAGTCAAGTACAGACTGTTTGCACCACCAGGGAGCTTGATTCATTGCCAAAGGAGAGCAGATTAGAAAGAAAGAAAAAGGAAGCTTGGACTGGGAGTGAGTGAGAGAGACCCCCACCCCCATCGCAGCTCCTTGTGTGGGCGCGGGTTAGGGGATCCCTCCAAGCAGGGCATCATCTCCCTGGGCCTCAGGGTCCTAGCTGCAGAACTGCGTGTGACCACACGTATACAGAGCGTTCCTGGTAAATTACAGCTCTTTGCGCGATTATTCATTCAACCAGCATCCATCTGTACAGGTGCTGGGGAAAGACGAGTGAAGAAGCACGGACATCCCCTGTCCTCACCTTTCGTCCGGGATGCAGACAAGTAAACGTCACATTGCTTTAGAAGGTGAACAGTGCCATATAGAAAAATCTGGAGTGAAAGCGCATTGGAGGTGTGGGGAGTTTGCAATTTGAAATGCGGAGTTCAGGAGAAGCCTCACTAGGAGGGGACGTTTGAGCAAAGAGTCGAAAGTGGGGAGGGAGGCATGCAGGCATCTAAGGGAAGAGTGTTGCAGGGAAAGGGAACAGCAGGTGCAAAGGCCCTGGGGCAGGATTGTACTGATGGGTTGGAGGAACAGCGAGGAGGCCTGTGTGACTGCAGCAAGTGAGCGAGGGCAAGAGAGAGGAGGAGGGGAGAGCAAGGAGGAGACGGGACCGTCGTGTGTGGGCGCGGGGAGGACTCCCGCTTTTACCCGAGACAGGGGTGGGAGCCCGGGAGGGTGGCAGGCAGAGCCTCGAAGGGCCGACTGGGTGCTCACGGGCGCCCTCTGGAGGCCGCAGGGAGGACGGCCGGTGGCGGCGGGCAGAGCTGGCCGGAGGTGACTGCGCTGGTCCAGAAGGGCAAATAGCGCGGGCGGGGTGGGGGCCGCGGAAGGCGTTCAGGTAACAGTGCTAGGAGATCATGTCAGTAACTAAATCGGTGTAGACCAGTCGTTCTCACCCAGGGAGATCCTGCCCGTGGTTGTCATGACTGGGGGGAGGGGGGCGGCTACTGGCATCGAGTGGATGGAGGCCAGGGATGCTGCTCAACACCCTACAGTGCACGGGATGGAGAACCATCCGGCCCCAAATGTCAGCAGTGCCGCAGCTGAGAAACCCTGATTTCGAGAGTTGCAACCAGCATTTCTTTCCACAGCCCACTGAACAGTCAGCAAGCCCACCTGCGTGACCAGCGCTGCGCTCAAGCCACAGAACACGTCCTGCACCCGGAATCCTCCTGCGCCCCTTCCAGCCTCTCCCTGTAACCACCATTCTGACATCTACAGCAGACCTCTGTTTGCCTTTATGTGCTTTATATAAACGGCTTTATATAAACCTCCCACTGTGTTCTCACAGGCTTCTTCCCAACCTCAGGTGTGGCTGGCTGTACATACTTTCTGCTTCCATCGTGTGAAGATGCCACCCTGAGGAGATTTTAGGTCGTCTCCCGGTCGGGGCTACTGCCAATAACGTCACTACGAACACCGTGTCCTTTGGTGGGTATGTGGACGTGCATCTGGGGTGTCTCCCGGAGTGGAGTTGGGGGTGTGTCTCCCAGGAGTGGAATTACTGAGTCACAGACTTTAGAGGATACAGCCAGCTTTCCAAAGGGTGGTCCAGTTCACCCTCCTGCAGCCAGCACTTAATACAAGAGAACAAAATACTTCAGTAGGGCTAGGTATGACTGTGAAACTTTTGTCCATGTGTCTGCACATGTGAACTGGGTCTCAGTGTAAGCTGAATTTCTTACTGTGGGGCACAGACAAAAACCTTGCGGATTTGTTTCTGCCCCGGGAACTTTGCACGGCTGTGTCCTTTACGTGGAGTGTGTACAAGTCTCCTGTGGCTGCTGTGACAAATCACCACAAACTTAATGGCTTGAAACAACACAGCTTTATTAACATCTAGCTCTGGAGGTCAGAGATCCAAAAGGGGTCTCACGGGGCTAAAATCAAGGTGTCAGCAGGGTGGTTCCTTCCGGAGGCCCCAGGGGAGAATCGTTTCCCAGCCTTTTCCAGCTTCTAGAGGCCCCGCGTTCCTTGGCCCGTGGCCCCTTCCTGCGTTTTCAAAGCCAGCAGCTGAGCATCTGCCTGTCTCTCTCTCTGCTTCCGTCCTCACATCTCCTCCTCTGACTCTGTCCCTCCTGCCTCCCTCTAATGAGGACCCTGTGATCACATGGGCCACCCAGGTGATCCAGGATCATCTCCTGTCTCAAGACCCGTGTCCACAGGGTCCCTTTTATGGTGCGGGGCAGGGGCATCATATTCACAGGTTCCAGGGATTGGGGGGGACGTCTTTGGGAATTGTATTCAGCCGTGCATGTGGGCATGGCCGGCTCCTTCTCAGCCTCCAGGCTCGGTTCAGACACCTCCTCCTGGGAGAGCCTCCTGGCCACGTATGCAGCCACCACCCCAGGCAGGCTCTGCCTCCTCGCCCTGCCTTGTTCTCCTGGCTGCACTCTCCACTGTCTGGAACTCTTTTCCATTTATCCCCTCACTCAGCATTCACTGAGCACCTACTGTGTGTAGCACTGGGGACGCAGCAGCAAAGGGCACGGCCAGAATCCCTGCCCTCGTGGAGCTGACACTACAGTGGGAGTGACAGGTGGCAAGGAAGTGTGAGAGTTACATGCCGAGACACGCCGCCTGCTAAGGAGGAAGAATAAAGCAGACAAAGGCAGCTCTGGCCTCATCATCACTGCTTCCCGGGGCCAGGATACCACCTGCACGGACCAGGCACACGAGAAGCACCTGCTGAAGAAATGAACCGGGGGGGGGGGGCTCTCGGTGGCACTGTGGCTGTGTGGCTGTTGTTAATCAAAGCTCCCACCCACACTTTCCTACAAAATATCCTGGGGCTGACAGTGAGGGGCTAGGGCCAGGGCAGCTCCTCCCGGGAGGCTGAGTTTATGGGACGACCTGTCATCTTCCATGTTCCTGGCACACGAGCGGCAGCAGGGCTGGGAAGGCGGGGTTGGCAGGGGACACACCCCGTCCAGTGTCTGCTCCCACCCCCTCCTCCTGGCTGCCGTGACCTGCCGCTTCCACCTCCCCGGGGGCCGGCTGCCTCCGTCCTTTGTCTGGCAGCCAGCCCCTGACTCAGACTCACGCGCCGCTACGGCTGCCTGCCCCTTTGTCCAGCAGGGACTCGAACAAGAAAGCCTTGTTCTTCCCCTGAGGACACCGTGGACCTGCCAGGCCCCCCTCCTTCCTCCATCCCAGAAAGGACCGGCTGTGCTC